ACAGTATACATTTGTATTCATACATAAAATATGTAGTCGTTATTTTGTTTTTAGGAATGAGGTCCATCACGAGGGAGTCATACTTGAGGATCCTTGATATAAAATTTAAAAACCACTTTAAACCTGAAATCTTAAATCTAACCCTCATATCTGTCTGGTCGATGGGAACGTTGCTCCAGGACCAGCAGGAATAACCTTGGTGCTGCACTAAGGCAAAAGAAGGAGACTAAAATTCTGAAAGAGCCTCAGTGACGAGGTCGATACTTTTTCTTAATCACAGCAACTCTTCCTTCATCATTTTCACATACTTCACTGATTTTATTAATGTCTCTGTGAAACCCACTCTCACTCTCTCGTAGATGATCTTGTGATTTGCTTAAAGCACGATAATGTTTTGTGTAACCTTTCAAACAGCGGCCCAGTCTTCATATCAGATTCCTCCCTCGGTCACAAGCTGCTCGTCCCAACCACGTGCCTGCAGTCATTGCAGCTCACGCTATGGGAGGGGAGCACACACAACACAAAATGTGGTAAACGTTGCACACTATGTATTGAATAATTGATAATTGTATACTGCTTATCATGTATATAGATATGTGATATGTTGACTTGTAGACTCTGATGTGCCTTCTTTAATTGTGGTCTTATAGTCTTACCTATGCAGCTAAAGTAGATTATACAGTCAATTATGTTTAGTAAACACTGTAACCATTGAAATATTTGCAGAAAGCACATTTTCTGGGATTAAAATGCATTACTTGGATGGATGATGGTATCGTAAAAGGCTCAGCTGATGTCGCCAGCGAAATGGTTCTGCGCATTTCATGGGTGTTATTTGCATCCTGTCCTCTGCCTTTGTTTTATGGGCATTATGCTGGCAAACACAGCAAGGTAATTGAACATGGGCAGGTGACTAATTGAATTAGATAGGGAACTCAGCAGGGCTGGAGAAATAGAGGTTAATAACCTCGCTTGGCCATATGATGCTTGCTGAAATCGACATGATTCTGTGAGCTGCTTTTGCTTGTTGTTTCTCCTTTAAGGATTTTGTTGTGTTTGGCTTTTAATCTTATTTTTGGATTTTTTTTTTAGAAACTTTAGAAAGTTATTATGCATTTTATTCTTTGCAGAAAGGGACAATTATTTTCAACGGGTCCTGTTATGGCCTGGTTTATCTAACTAAATATTGACTGATGTTTGGAGCCATATTCAGTGTTGGAGACATACTCATTGGAGCCATACTCTTTTAATCATCTTGCATTTTAGATAAAGTATAGGGTTGGGTGTAACGTGTTACTATGTTACATGTTATTGTAATTAAATTACTCATCTACTGAAAAAGCAAAGTAAAGGATTACTGTTCATGTTTAGGTCATTTAATCACAGTTACTTATGTAAAGTACTTGCGTTACGTAAATAATTTCAACAGTTCTAAAATCAATATTGAATTTGAAATCTACATTTATTGTCTAAAGGTAAATTTGAATGCAGCATTTTTAACCCTCTGCGCGCTGGCGCGTTCACTTGCAGTTCTTCCTTATAACAGAGAAAAGAACCTAAAATACTCATATACAATCTATAATCTATAAAGGGTCTACTTTTATTTGTGTATACTGACAATAACAAGAAAACATTGTGCTTTTGTAAAATAAACAAATCAAACAGGGTGCGCTTTCTGCTGTTTTGGTCTCCGCGTGAACTTCTTTCTGAAACGCGTCACAAAAATGAACTGAAACTCAGCAAATACTTGACACATAGACGTGAGAAATATGTCTATAGAAAACTTAAAGTGTCCACTTTTAAATGAACCAATTCAAATCGAAAACAAATATTCTCTGATTATGTAATCCGTATGAAACTAAAGCGAGGTACAGTCTTCCCTTCTCTGAGCTCAGCCATACCTGCACGCAAACGCCCTCATCACATATACAAAAAATAGATTAAAAAAAAAATCAAGATTCATCTATTTTTCATCGTTTTTTGTAAGAAGACCTGCTATGAGGAATACGCCGGAATTGACCTTTAGAAGAACAGCGTGATCTGACGCGGCTTTATTCAGCAGAGGATCTCATTTCTGTCATTTATTCTTACTTACATTAGTTAACGTGTTATTTTAACATAAACTTGGACTGACTTTACTAGTTGGGCTTTTCCTAAACATCTTGCCAAACTGAAATGTGTGCAAGCGAGTGAAATATGCATTCAGATATATAGGCAACTTTTTAATTACATATAGCCTAAATGTCGTATATGAAACGAAGATGTAATTTTTTTGCGATCATATAAAAAAAAAGATTTATAATAGGTACGACATAGATATAAAGTAATGGGAATATTTACATTGCAGCATGATGAATGTTACAGTCTAGGAATGTTTAGATTAGTGTTTATTGATCTACTAATTATTACATTTGTTTTAAAACTAAAAGGCTAAACTATTCCATGTTTGACTCAAATGGACAGAATAAAGAGTTTCATTTCTATTGTCTATGCTGTAAGGTTAATAGGGATTTTAAGATGTAATTAGCGATTTGAATAATTAAAGTTATTTATTGAGTAATTAAATTACTTGTCAGGCAGAGTAATCAGAAAAGTAATTTAAAAACAATATTGATGATGCAATTAGTAAGTAATTACTTTTTGAAAGTAACTTACCCAACACTTATGTGTGTAATCATTCAAATGACAGTTAAATTATTAGGCCAAAACAGTGTAAGAATGAAAAAAAAAAGCTTCAAAACAGTGAAGAAAAAAAAGTATATGATGTTCAAAATAGTACTTATTTTAGGAAAGAAAATACTATAAAAGTAAATACTTGAGTGAAAATGGAATGTATCATTTTTGGACATTTGATTGCATGTTAATTGCAATTAAATGCAAATGTATTATAGTTCAAATGTATATTAAATGCAATAAGCTAAACCTTTTTGACCCATTTAAGTATTGACCTAAATACATCTTTATAAGTAACTTCCTAATTGCTTCTAATTTCTTTGAAATATAGTTAAAATGTATTGGCAAGTGAATTGACAAGATTTAAGGTAAACTTAAAAATACTTTAACGTCATTTCTATTGAAATTTGTATGTCATGTATTTAAATATGTTTGTAATTACACATTTGTCATGTTGAAGTTGTAATTTAGTGTATTTAAAATATATTAACTTAAAACGTAATATTGAATAACACAATATATTTAAAAATTGTAATTCTGATGGCTTAGAAAATAATAGCACACTTTTCCCTCAACAAGCCACACGATTTGAGGTATCATTCATGTAGCACAAACAGTGCGAGATGAGAATTTGAATACTTGGGTTTAGAGGCTTGTTCAAATTCATAACCCTGAGTACGCAATAGTTAAAGCACATTGTCTGTCCCCTGTTGCCACAACAATGAATGTCCCAGCTTGTAGTGATTTGCTGTCCTCACACTGGGTCTTCTCCATTGACATTCAGCCCATCATCTAGATCTAGAGTGTCTCCCGGAGCTAAATACATTACCCTGTTTGCTCTCTTAAAGGTTAAAGGCCACTGATTTCATCAACTCCAGAGGTTTTCCCCTCGACAGAGCCAGATCCCTTGTTAGCGCTTCAACTAACCATTTCTTGTCTTTGGTTTCCTCACAGAGCCGTATGGCGGAGAGCCTGCGTTTGTTCGATTCCATCTGCAACAACAACTGGTTCACTAATACCTCGCTCATCCTCTTCCTCAACAAGAAGGACCTGCTGGCCGAGAAGATCAAGCGTATTCCGCTGACCGTTTGCTTCGCTGACTACAAGGGGCAAAACACCTACGAGGAGGCGGCCGTGTACGTGCAAAGGCAGTTTGAGGACCTCAACCGCAACAAGGAGACCAAGGAAATCTACTCGCACTTCACTTGCGCCACTGACACCAGCAACATCCAGTTTGTGTTTGACGCGGTGACGGACGTGATCATCCAAAACAATCTCAAGTACATTGGGCTGTGCTAGGACGAGGGGACGGGGGGAGAGGGGCGGCAGGCACGGCATATGAAAAAAACCCTTGGCGAACGATCTGATCTGAGTGCCCTCAAAAACGCTTGTCGAAACAGGAAACGCAGATGAGGCCCAGAGGAAAGGGCTACATGCTGCCATCCTGCTAGATTTATCAATGTCAAAAATGTAAAGGTCAAAGAGGATTTTACAAGGTTGGTATAAATGTGTTTGCACTGAACATATGAGTATGTAGACACACACACACATACACCATCGTTACGTTTGTTCACACACAACGGACTTCGGGATCAGCCGTCAAGCACATGTTTGACATGGAAACACTGGAAACAGATCTCCCCGCTCCTCTCTTCCCTGACAAACAGCAAGAATTCCTTAACATCCATGAAAGGGATAGTTCATCTGAAAATGTGCTCATTTGCTCATGTCATTCCAAACCTGTATGACTTTCTTTCTTCCGTGGAACATAAAAAGAGATGTTTAGCAGAATGCTCATGCTGCTCTTTTACATACAATGACAGTGAATGATGAAAATGACAAAAAAACAGCAGAAAAGTAACTTAACATTTTACTTGTGTACTTATTATTAAGGAATATGTTTTAAAGCCATATGTGCATAATTCAAATTTGGTGCATCACAGCTGGTGAAGTTACACATATTACAGTTGAACCACAACAATGATTAAAACAATGATTTAAAATGTTTGACATTATTACAAAGTGCACATTTTAAAAGTATACTGAAGTTCAATTCAATTAAATTCAAGTGTATTTGTGTAGCGCTTTTCACGATACAAATCGTTGCAAAGCAACTTTACAGCAAATTAGGTTTCTACAATATTTAGTAGTAGCTTATCAGTGGCGACTGTCAGTTAATGTACATATGGCAGAAATGTATGGAAAAATCAATTAAAGACGTAATCAATACGTTACCCTGTTTGCTCTCTTTGAGGTTAAAGGCCACTGGTTTCATCAACTCCAGAGGTTTTCCCCTCGACAGAGCCAGATCCCTTGTTAGCGCTTCAACTAACCATTTCTTGTCTTTGGTTTCCTCACAGAGCCGTATGGCGGAGAGCCTGCGTTTGTTCGATTCCATCTGCAACAACAACTGGTTCACTAATACCTCGCTCATCCTCTTCCTCAACAAGAAGGACCTGCTGGCCGAGAAGATCAAGCGTATTCCGCTGACCGTTTGCTTCGCTGACTACAAGGGGCAAAACACCTACGAGGAGGCGGCCGTGTACGTGCAAAGGCAGTTTGAGGACCTCAACCGCAACAAGGAGACCAAGGAAATCTACTCGCACTTCACTTGCGCCACTGACACCAGCAACATCCAGTTTGTGTTTGACGCGGTGACGGACGTGATCATCCAAAACAATCTCAAGTACATTGGGCTGTGCTAGGACGAGGGGACGGGGGGAGAGGGGCGGCAGGCACGGCATATGAAAAAAACCCTTGGCGAACGATCTGATCTGAGTGCCCTCAAAAACGCTTGTCGAAACAGGAAACGCAGATGAGGCCCAGAGGAAAGGGCTACATGCTGCCATCCTGCTAGATTTATCAATGTCAAAAATGTAAAGGTCAAAGAGGATTTTACAAGGTTGGTATAAATGTGTTTGCACTGAACATATGAGTATGTAGATACACACACATACACCATCGTTACGTTTGTTCACACACAACGGACTTCAGGATCAGCAGTCGAGCACATGTTTGTCATGGAAACACTGGAAACAGATCTCCCTGCTCCTCTCTTCCCTGACAAACAGCAGGAATTCCTAAACATCTATGAAAGGGATAGATCACCCGAAAATGTACTCATTTGCTCATGTCATTTCAAACCTGTATGACTTTCTTCTGTGGAATACAAAAGGAGAGGTTTAGCAGAATGTTCATGCTTCTCTCTTACATACAATGACAGTGAATGGTGGGGGAAAAACACCATAAATGTAACTTAATATTTAACTTGTGCTCTTATTATTAAGGAATACATTTTAAAGCTTTATGCACATATTCCAATTTGGTGCATCACAGTTGGTGAAGATACACTCTCACATTACAGTTCAAATTATAATCAAGTACTTTACAACACATTAAAACAGGTGTACTTCTTTAAAGCATGAATGAAAATGAAACAATGATTTAAAATGTACTTTAAAATGTTTTAATTTGACATAAAAAAGAATCACTTTTTTAAAAGCGTGCTTAACTGTGTTAAGAAATATAGTCATGAAAGTGTACTCTCTTTAAAGGGATAGTTCACTTTCAGTTGCTGGTCCCCATTGATTTCCATAGTATGGAAAAAAAAAACTATGCAAGTCAATGGGGACCAGCAACTGAAGGTGAACTATCCCTATAAGTACACTTAAGTGGCCTTTTATTTCATTTAATTTATATTATATTATCTGCAAGTACAGTTTTTTTTTAAAATATACTTTTAAGTGTTAAAGTACACTACAAGTGCACATTCAATACAATTACAATTACAAGGGAAGAAAAGAATGAGTCTTTGGGTCTGTCCCAATACACAATGCACATTAAATCCACACTTTTATTAAACACTTTAGAGCAGTATTTGAGGCTAAGCATTTCCCATCATTCATTATGTTCAAGAACTCACAAAATTGAGGAAAAACTCACAAAAATGTTAAAAAAGAAAAACTTTCCAGTGTAAGTTTTTAATTAAATATTACATATAATTTGGTAGAAAAACAGCTTTTTTATCACTTAATTTAAGGCACTGCAACATATAAATTGTGTCGTCTGTTACATATGAACTACTGAACAGATATTCAGAAGTTAATTTTAAATGTGCAAAGTATAAACAATAAAAATGTGTAACTAAAGCTCTGTTAAAAAAAATTACTTGTATTTTAACAACACTATGTTGTAATTGTGTCGAAAGTTGTGCATGCACTTGTGGTCTTCATACCCACTTGACCACTTGAGTCAAATACAGGAAATATGCAAGTAGACAAGTGGTCAAGTGCAAAGACCGCAAGTATGGCTATTGGGCCCAACATTTTTATGTCATTTGAAGAAATGTTGAGTGTTTCCTCTATTAGTACAAATCAACTATTTTTGGCAAATTTTTTGTCATCCACCAAGGAAAGATTGTAATTCTGATGGCTTAGAAAAGCAATAGCACACTGTCCCTCGACAATATTATTAAGTCTAATTAAGTCCTAAGTATTATATTAAGTCTTAAAGCTATATCCACAATTTGTGCATTGCAATTGGTTTAGATATACAAGTCAAACCTGGCATGACAAATCTTGATGTGCCATATTTGAGGATATGTGAACATGAATGAGACTTGAGAGCTGCAGTGGAGACGATTATCTGTGAATAACGACTTAAATGTAAGTGCTTTCCTCACACACAATCTATTGTATGACTTCTTGAATTTTGGAATTTAGATTATATGGACTGCTGTTATAGAATTTTTTGTCATTTTTGGCGCTTAACAGCCCTTGGTCACCATGAGTGGAAAAGAGCAGCATGAACATTCTGCTAAACATCTCTTTTTACGTTCCACAGAAGAAATAAAGTCATACAGATTTGAAGTGACATGAGGGTGAGTAGATGATAAAATGCAATTTAGGTGAACTGTTCCTTTAAGTTTTGTCTGTCTTTATAAGGTCTTTGATTTGCCTGATTTAAGTAATGCTGCTTTAGGAGATGATATAAAGAGTTTATATGAAAATATAAATGTATATGAGAGGTTAAAAGTATCTTGAGAGAAAGAAAAACAACAAAAAAATGACGATGTCATTTGGTTTTGCTCCAAAGGTGAAAACTGCCACTGTCTGAATATGGAGTCAAATGGCTTTTTTAGTCACATTCACACTGTAGTTTATTTTGGGCTGTCTGACCCCTAGGAATCAATCTGTTTTCTTGTTTCTTTTTATTCTGTTTTCCTTTTGCCTAAAATAGGATGTAATCCAGAGTTTTTAGAGAAAGCGTCCTTCTTTCCATGAGAGTGTTACACTGACGTGAGCATTAAGTGTTTCATAACGTTCATTCCAGATTCAAGGAAAAATAAACAGTGCCAATATCAATGTAAATAAAAAAGGCCCGTCTATCATGTTACTTTTTCGGTTTTAATGGACAAATATA